TGTGCATTGCCATGGCTGGTCTCAAACTCTGGGCTCAAGCAATTTGCCTGCCCTCAGCCTCCCAAAGTGTTGGATTACAGACATGAGCCATTGCACCTGGCCAACATATTTTTAATGCTGTGTCATGCTCCATTATATAAAATACTCCATAATACCGTAATTCCTCCATTTATGAACATGTAGTTCCTTTCAGGTTTTTACCATTATAATTAACAAAGCAGTGAACATCTTCATTCAGAAGTCATAGCACTGTGTATTTCAAATTATTTTCTTGGGTTCCTGCCAAGAAATAAAAAGACTAGGTAAAATATTGTGAACTTTTCAAGGCTTTTGATAGCACACTACCCAAATTGCTCTCTCCAGAAAGATTTTTTCCAGTTTATCCTCTCTCCATCTGTGTTTAACCAATGTTTCTTCATTTACTGACCAGCACTGAATTTATCAGTTTTTAAACATTGCTAATGTTTATAGGCAAAAAAAAACTTGTTCACACGTCTGGTCCTGTTGTCGCGATCCATCACTTGGGTGTCCTGAGATGGTGCGAACGATGTTTTGAAGAGGGTGATTTTATTTTATTTTATTTTTTTGAGACAGAGTCTCGCTCTGTTGCCGAGGCTGGAGTGCAGTGGTGCAATCTCAGCTCACTGCAATCTCCACCTCCTGGGTTCAAGCGATTCTCCTGCCTCAACCTCCTGTGGAGCTGGGATTACAGGTCCCCACTACCATGCCTGGCTAATTTTAGTAGAGATGGGGTTTTACCCGATGTTGGCCAGGCTGGTCTTGAACTCCTGACCTCAAGTGATCCGCCTGCCCTGGCCTCCCAAAGTGCTGGGATTACAGGCAAGAGCCACTGCACCCAGCCTGACCCCATTCTTGTACTTATGGCTTTTAAATCTTGGGAATTTTGGACTGCCTTGGCAAATCCTAAGTATCATCTTCATTCTTCCTTGATGTTTGTGAGTATGAGATCCCTGCCCAAAACTATGCTGTCTCCACTTGGGATTGGAGTTTGAAAACTGACTTCACTCAGCCCCAGAGTCAAGGTCAGAAGCCCCTCAACCTCGGTATTTTAAGTGCCTTCATTCTCTCTGGCCCAGAAACCAAGATGTGGACCACGCCAGAAGTGACCAGCCCCCCACCATCCCCAAGAACATTCCACACATCATCCGCAGCCATTGGAAACCAGCTGTATGTCTTTGGGGGCGGAGAGAGAGGTGCCCAGCCTGTGCAGGACACGAAGCTGCACGTGTTTGACGCAAGTATGGACTGGTGGGCACCTTGGGGCTGGTCAGGGCCATCCCAGTCTACAAATTACCTAATATAGGAAGCAGAAGTTAAAAAAGGAAAGCCTGCCGGGCGCGGTGGCTCACACCTGTAATCCCAGCACTTTCGGAGGCCAAGGCGGGCGGATCACAAGGTCAGGAGATCGAGACCATGGTGAAACCCCATCTCTACTAAAAATACAAAAAATTAGCCAGGCGCGGTGGCGGGCGCCTGTAAGTCCAGCTCTGGAGCTGAGGCCAGGAGAATGGCCAGGAACCCCGGGAGGCGCGGAGCTTGCAGTGAGCCGAGCATACGCCACCGCGCCTCCAGCCAGGGGGAAGAGTGAGACTCCACTGCTCCTCCAAAAAAAAAAAAAAAGAAAGCCCTGACTGTTTCATTCTAGACTTCCTTGTTATCTTTACTGGTATCTTTATTTTCCCACAAGCCAAAATTGGGCATTTAAAAAGGGATGGTGAGCCCCTGGTGCGGTGGTCACACCTGTAAATCCCCAAGAGCTTTGGGAGACTGAGGGCAAGTGGACTCACTTAAGGTCAGGAAGTTCGAGAACAGCCCTGGCCGACATACCTTGTCTGCTACTAAATAAAAAAGCTATCCCAAGCATGGATGGCCACGCAACCCCTGTATCCAGTTACTGAGAGGCTGTGGAGGCGGAGATCGCTAAAACCCAGGAGGAGAAGGTTTCAGTTGAGCAAGTATGGGCCCACTGCATCAGCCTGGTAACAGCAATAACCTCTGTCCCAAAATAAATAAATAAATATAAAACTAAAAGATAGGCCCGGCCACGGTGGCCTGTCACACCTGTAATCCCAGCACTTTGTGCGACGCCGGTGGTGGGAGGATCACCGAATCAGGAAGTTCAAGAAAACCAGCCCTAAGCCGCATCATGGCAAAACCCCGTCTCTACAAGAATAGAAAACTGTCCTGGGGCTGCAGCCGAATGGTGCCTGTAATCCCAGCCTACTCAGGAGGCTGAGTCCAATGAGAATCATTTGAACTCGGGAGGCAGAGAATGCCCAAGTGCAGCCAGATCCGACCACTGCACTCCAGCCTGGGGTTGACAGAGAGCGAGACGTCTGTCTCAAAAAAAAAGAAAAAAAGAACAGAAATAATTCTTTTTTTTTTTTTTTTTGAGACGGACGTCTCGCTCGTCGCCTGGGCTGGCAGTGCAGTGCCGCACGCGGATTCAGCGCAGCGCGAACTCGCCTCGCCGGGTAGCCTATATTCCGCCCTGCCCTCAGCCCTCGCCGAGTAGCTGGGACTTACAGGCGCCCCACCTCGCCGCCCGCTTATTTTTTTGTATATTTTTAGTAGAGACGGGGTATTTCCCTGTTGTCAGGATGGTCTCGATCTCCGGACCTCGTGATCCACCCTCGGCCTCCCAAAGTGCTGGGATTACAGATGAGCCACCGCCGCCCGCCAGAAAAAGACAAGAAATTCTATATGTTACATTTGCATCCTGAATTTTTCACTTAAGTATTGTTCCATGCAATCAGAAAGTCTACCAACATTTTTGAAATTATTATCATTAATAAATATAAATATTAAGCTCACTGCATATTATAAATATTATATAATAATAATAATTATACAATAACCATAATATAA